GTCACCCCCCTGTCACTAGTCACCCCCCCTCACTATCACTAGTCACCCCCCCCTCACTGTCACTAGTCACCCCCCCTCACAGTCACTAGTCACCCCCTCCCTCACTAGTCACACCCTCCCTCACTCTGTCACTAGTCACACCCTCCCTCACTCTGTCACTAGAGTGAGGGGATGACTGGTGACAGAGTGAGGGAAGGGGTGACTAGTGGCAGAGTGAGGGAAGGAAGGGGTGACTGGTGATAGAGTGAGCGAATGATTGGTGACAGAGTGAGAGAGGGGAACGACTAGTGACAGAGTGAGTTAGGGGGTGACTAGTGACAGGGTAAGGGGCGGAGGGGGTGGCTAGTGACAGAAGGAGGTGGTGACTAGTGACAGAGTGAGGGGGGTGGTGACTAGGGACAGTCACCACCTCCCTCACTCTGCCACTAGTCACCCCTTCCCTCACTCTGTCACTGTTCACCCCCTCACTCTAGTGACAGAGTGAGGAAGGGGGTGACCAGTGACAGAGGGAGGGGTGACTAGGGACAGAGTGAGGGAGGTGGTGACTAGTGACTTGTGACAGTCACCACCTCCCTCACTCTGTCACCTGTCATCCCCTCACTCTGTCACTAGTCACCCCTTCCTTACTCTGTCACTAGTCACCCACTCCCTCCCTCACTCTGTCACTAATCACCCCCTCTCTCACTCTGTCACTAGTCATCACCTTCCTTACTGTCACTAGTCACACACTCCCTCTCTCTGTCACTAGTCACACCCTCCCTCACTCTGTCACTAGTCACACCCTCCCTCACTCTGTCACTAGAGTGAGGGGGTGACTAGTGACAGAGGGAGGGGATGACTGGTGACAGAGTGAGGGAGGGGGTGACTAGTGACAGAAGGAGGGAGGGAGTAGTGACAGAGGGAGGTGGTGACTAGTGACAGAGTGAGGGAGCTGGTGACTAGTGACAGTCACCACCTCCCTCACTCTGTTACTAGTCACGCCTTCCTTCCCTCACTCTGCCACAAGTCACCCCTTCCCTCACTCTGTCACTAGTCACCCCTTCCCTCACTCTAGTGACAGAGTGAGGGAGGGTGTGACTAGTGAGAGAGTGAGGGAGGGTGTGACTAGTGACAGAGTTAGGGAGGGAAGGGGTAACTAGTGACAGAGGGAGGGGTGACTAGGGACAGAGTGAGGGAGATGGTGACTAGTGACTAGTGACAGTCATCACCTCTGTCACTAGTCACCACCTCCCTCCCTCTGTCACCAGTCATCCCCTTACTCTGTCACTAGTCACCCCTTCCTTCCCTCACTCTGCCACTAGTCACCCCTTCCCTCACTCTATCACCTGTCACCCCCTCACTCTGTCACCTGTCACCCCCTCACTCTAGTGACAGAGTGAGGGAGGGTGTGACTAGTGTCAGAGAGAGGGAGGGGGTGACTAGTGACAGAGTGAGGGAGGTGATGATTAGTGACAGAGGGAGGGATGGGGTGACTAGTGACAGTCACCCCCTCCTTCACTCTGTCACTAGTCACCCCTTCCTTCCCTCACTCTGCCACTAGTCACCCCTTCCCTCACTCTGCCACTAGTCACCCCTTCCCTCACTCTAGTGACAGAGTGAGGGAGGGGGTTACTAGTGACAGAGGGAGGGGTGACTAGGGACAGAGTGAGGGAGGTGGTGACTAGTGACAGTCACCACCTCCCTCACTCTGTCACTAGTCACCACCTCCCTCACTGTCACCAGTCATCCCCTCACTCTGTCACTAGTCACGCCTTCCTTCCCTCACTCTGCCACTAGTCACCCCATCACTCTAGTGACAGAGTGAGGGAGGGTGTGACTAGTGACAGTTAGGCAGGGAAGGGGTGACTAGTGACAGAGGGAGGGGTGACTAGGGACAGAATGAGGGAGGTTGTGACTAGTGACAGTCACCACCTCCCTCACTCTGTCACTAGTCACCACCTCCCTCCGTCACTGTGTCACCCCCTCCCTCACTCTGTCACCAGTCATCCCCTTACTCTGTCACTAGTCACCCCTCCCTCACTCTGCCACTAGTCACCCCTTCCCTCACTCCCTCACTCTGTCACTAGTCACCCCCTCACTCTAGTGACAGAGAGAGGGAGGGTGTGACTAGTGACAGTGAGTAAGGGTGTGACTAGTGACAGTGAGTAAGGGTGTGACTAGTGACAGAGAGAGGGAGGGTGTGACTAGTGAGAGTGAGGGAGGTGGTGATTAGTGACAGAGGGAGGAATGGGGTGACTATCACTGTGTCACCCCCTTCCTCACTCTGTCACTAGTCACCCACTCCCTCCCTCACTCGGTCACTAGTCACCCCTCTCTCACTCTGTCACCAGTCATTCCCTCACTCTGTCACCAGTCATCCCTTCCTTCCCTCACTCTGCCACTAGTCATCCCTTCCCTCACTCTGTCACCAGTCATCCCCTCACTCTATCACCAGTCACCCCTTCCTTCCTTCACAGTGACAGAGTTAGGGAGTGACTAGTGACAGAGAGAGGGATGGGGTGACTAGTGACAGAGTGTGGAAGAGGGTGACTAGGGACAGAGGGGGTGATTAGTGACAGAGTGAGGGAGGGGGTGACTAGTGACAGTGAGGGAGCGGGTGACAGTGACAGAGTTAGGGAGGGAGTGACTAGTGACAGTCACTCCCTCCCTCTGTCACCAGTCATCCCCTCACTCTGTCACCAGTCACCCCTTCCCTCCCTCACTCTGCCACTAGTCACCCATTCCCTAACTCTGTCACTAGTCACCCCCTCTCCCTCCCTATGTCACTAGTCACCCCCACTTACTGTGTCTCCCCCTCACTCTGCCACCACTCAACCCCTCCCTCACTCTGCCACCAGGTACCCCCTCACTCTGCCACCTGTCACAACCTCCCACACTCTTCCACCTGTCACCTTCTCCCTCACACACTGTCACCTGTCACATATGCATTCACACAGACACTATATACAAAAAAAGCACATGTAGTCATCCCGACATGCACAAGTGCATTCACACAGACTCAAATACAAACATGCATTGATACACAGGTCTTCACAATATACACATCCAAAGGAATGCTGTATTATGAGTTATATTTAACATTTATTTAATGCACATATATTTGGCCTTCAAAGTGCCTGGGATCTAATTTTGCCCGGGGGCCCCAAAGGCTCTCAGTCCGCCCCTGGGCTCGAGCCACTAGCGTGGTGGCGGGGTGTCGGCCTCTCGGTGACAGTAAAAGATCCAAAAACATGTGGTCGTGACAGGTGAGGCCCTAACTATAAACCCGATAGGTAGGTGAATGCGAGGCTCTAACTAATATTTGGGCCGAGGGGCGAAAATCTCCGTGTTGAGATTGGGGAGTTGGCCTCGCATGACCTTCTACATTGTAGAACTAAGACCAGCACCTAACCCTAGACAGCCAGTTCTCTGACCCTTGACTGGGGCTTGATGAGGGGGTAATGCAACGTAAGAAGAGAGGGAAAGGAAGGAGGGAGAAAGAAGAGGAAAATGAACTGAGGGGCGAGGGAGAGGAGAGAAAAAAAACTGTGTTTAGCATAGTGAAGTTTTTTAGAGATATAGCTAATAGTATAGTATCCTAAGGCCCAGAGGGTGCTGAAGATAACCAGGATAGCTACCATATTTCCCTAAAAGGAGATCTAGGAAGGTGTCATGCCATTAAAAACATCATGGTAGTACCTGGAGGAAAGTGGAGGGTGAAATGAACAAGAGGTGTTGTTTGAATCATGAAGTTGTTTATAAGTAGTGAGTTTGGATAAACTTTTGACGAGTTGTCGGGTGGAGCCGTGGCCTGACAAGGCAAGGAGGGAAATCAAGCCCCCGTATCCTAACAACCCCATTATGGAAATACGTGGCCTAGTAGAGGCAGTTAATCGAAATGTGAATGAAAATATATTTGTACCTGAGAGAAACAGGAGACAATGATGAACCAATAACTGGTTAATGGTAGAATGCCGTACTGAAATCGAGGTGCAGTATTTCAAAAGAAAAAAGGAAAGGCTATCCTTAGGTTGACATCAGGGCCGGACTGGGAGAAAATTTCGGCCCGGGCAATTTTTTATCACAGCAGCCCACTAAGATGGGGGCGGGGCAGAGAGGGTGTGTTTCGGCATCACCAATGACAAACACGCCTCCTCTCAAAGTGAGCATGTTGGTTCAATGCTCTTCCAGGGCAGACCATGTGCAGAGCTCTGCTAAAGAGCTCTAGCATGAGAAAAAAGCCCTGTATTTGTTCTGCACAGTGCAAGCAAATTTAATAACATGCTTGCACTGTGTTTCCTTGCAACTTGTCTCTGGTGTCTCTATAAATGGATACCAGGAGACAAAGGGGCTAGGAAAGAGTATTGTGCATGTGTTTGGAGCCTGCTTGTGGTATTGCGTGTGTGCAGAGTGAGGTGGTCATGGTGTGGTATTGTGTAATAAGGTCGGTTTTAGTCGTGTTGTGTTTTTGGTGTAATGTAATGCATATGTGGCTAGAGGCTGTATAGAATGTGTGTATAGGGGATGTAGTAATGCCCCCCTACATCAGGCTGTGCCCCCCTTTAGGCCCCCCAAATGTCAGCAACTTGCTGGCCATGATCTCCCATTCTATTCCCTCGGACTGTAACAGTGTGTGTGTCTGTAACAGCCCGAGAGAATGCAGGGCAGTCTGCCCAGAGGAGCTGGAGTGCTGGGTGCTGTTTGTGCAGAGATGCTGGGGCCGGAGAGAGCGCTGACAGGCTCCCAGGCAAGGCCCCGCCCCCAAACCAAACCCCGCCTCCCGCACTGAGAGTGTTATGTGTGAAGGGTGTGAGAGTGCCGAGTGTGATGGGTGTGAGAGTGCTGTGTGTGAGAGTGCTGAGTGTGATGGGTGTGAGAGTGCTATGTGTGATGGGTGTTAGAGTGCTGTGGGTGAATGTTAAAAGGGATTGTGTGTTTGGGGGGTAAAATAAGCAGTTATTATATCCCCCCTCCCTTATTACCTTTAGCCTAGGGGGGGGGGTCCAGCACGGTGGTATCTGGGAGGGGGTTGGCGGCACTCTGACACCATCCCATGTTTCAATCTATGGATGTGATTCAAGATAGACTTAAAAATTATAGCGCATGCCTTTGTACAAAAGGCGGGAATTTAAATCTCTAAACAGACCTTACAACATTTTAGGTTACAAAATGAATGTATAGATGTATATGCGTTTGGTGATAGACTGCCTCTCTTCTTAACAGTTGTCAGGTGTATAGTTAGTATTATTATCTCACAGAGTTCTGACAACTCCATAAATTAACCACTAAATAGTGGGTGCACTATTGAAATGTTCAAATGTAGTTAAAGATTCACTTAACTAACCGAATAGAACAGTGATTGTACGAATTGATACGTTGAAGAAACTAACAAAAAGAACCTGGTATAGCAGGTGTATCGAGCGTTCGACTGTTTGTTCGTCTGGAATACATGGAACAATACGTGTCTATATTTTTGGTGCTTGACTAAGATCCGTCTTAATTAATTGACAGGTATAGTAATGCATTAGATTCTACAGTGATCTTCCGTTCCCTTTAAACTAGCTTAATATAATAGTAATTGCACGAATAGACATTATGAATTCTAATGAATGAAACAACGAAAAGAACCTGGTGTGTCAGGTGTATTAAGCGTTCGTCTGTTTGTTTGTCTGAAATACGTGGAACATGAATTGAAAATGTCGAACGGAGGGAATAGCCCGAACGCGGCTATTTTGCCGATTACCTGACGTTCATTCGTTTGACAGTTCGTGAGTTTGCACGAACTGGGATGCTGACTGGCGGGAAAACAGAGACGATGCCGGGACCGGAAGTGCAGCTGGCGGGAACCGGAAGTTTTTGCTGTCACGGAGAGGTGAGCAGACCAGAGTGAACAGTGTACGTCACGGCAAAGGTAGGAAGGGGGAGTAGCGTTTTATAGGAACGCTAACTCCTCCCACAAATACAGGCCTGCGGCCTTAAATATATTACACACTCTGAAAGGACCAATATTTTGAATTAGAAAAAGAAATATACCAATAATATGTAAGGCTATGTCTTGCCAATCCATTGCACAGGCTCACAGACAGACAATCTCATTGATTTACATATGCTCATTGACATTAAAACACAAGCTCACTGATGCACACAAATAAGCTCACACACAGACAAGCTTATTGGTACACAAACAAATTTAGTACAGACAAACTCTGACACGCACAAACTTACTTCAGACAAGCTCACTGTCACACACATGCTCACTGACACCCATATGCTCACTACAGACAAGCACACGGACACACATGCTCACTACAGACAAGCTAACACACACATGCTCACTGACACCCATATGCTCACTACAGACAAGCACACGGACACACATGCTCACTACAGACAAGCTAACACACACATGCTCACTACAGACAAGCTCACTGTCACACACACATGCTTCCAACAGACAAGCCCACTGACACACACATGCTCACTACAGACAAGCTCACTGCCACACACACATACAAGCTCACTCACTAGCAGCCACACACATAAAACTCACTCACTAGCAGACACACACAACTCACTCACTAGCAGCCACACACACACAAACAACTCATTCACTAGCAGACACCCACACACACACACACACAACTCACTCACTTGCAGCCACCCACACACACACACACACACACACACACTCACTAGCAAGCACACACACACACGTTTATTCAGTAGCAGGCACACACACAGCCATGGCTGAAGCTTACCTGGCACTGGTGGGTGAAGTTGCCATTTTGTGACCTCTTCCTCCTAGAGAGTTCAGCAACATGCATGAGGGGGTGGAGCTTGTGCGCTGGAGGTGGCATTTCTGTTCAGGAGGCGGGACAAGCGGCCAAAATTGAGGTAAATTGTGCAAGGAGACTGACAGATCTCCCTCCAGCCACGGGCAGCCTAATTGCAGCCGCACCACTCCCCAGCTCCTCCCTCTTTACTCTCCTTGGACTGACACAGGCTGGCACAGTCCGAGGGGAAAATCATTTAAATTACAGTAGCCTCATGATTTGGGCTGTCAGCCCAGCCCCAGGTGCCATGGCCCACCGGGAAATTTCCTGGTATCCTGGTGGGCCAGTCCAGCCATGCCTCTACAGCTAATTGCTCTCAGTCGATGATCTCGGCCCTGCAATGCACGACAAAGCTTGGGACAGGTAACGGAAGGCATTAGTAGTAGGGATGGGAGGAGCTACAGGTAGACTCCAGTTAAGAAGTCAAACCTTTCTAAAATGGTTTGATTACTAAAAATGGGGGAGAGACAACAGGGCACTCCTGGCACTATAACTACTACAGCGAGCTGTAGTTATAATATTGTTTGGAGTGTTCCTTTAAATATCTAAGCGGTGACTATAGCCAAGCTGTGGAATTTTTCCAGATCATCTATTTTGCCATTCGGACGTTATCTTCTGGACAATTACACAGAGATATTCACCGAAGTGTGGATTGTTGGAAATTCACAGTAAATTTAAAGTGAATTAAAATTTTTAAACAAATAGTTAGCGATGTTTACAATTCAGCTATTTTGGGTTTAATTTAAAATTTACGTTGCATTTGTTACAATTCACATTTTAGTTTGAATGTTTTTGTCTTTTCATAGTAATTCTTTTTTTCTTTTTCTCCCTATGGGTATAATGTAGAACTCTTTTGAGATTTGTCTTTGTTTTTTTTATTTGCAGGAAGTGATTACCCATGAATTGAATAATTTGTCTAAATTAGCAGTACTCCTGCAATAGTGACAGCTGGTGAAGTTTTAAGATGGTGGGACTCCAGATTTCCACCTCCCCCC